GGGGCGATGATTCCAAAGTCACTCCCCGACACTTTATACCTGGTACACACTCAGGCAGAGAAGGAATCCCTTAAGAACCAGGGATACGGGTCGACCGTGGGATCACGCGTGCTCACGATACACGAGGCACAGGGACTTTCGTGTGCGAATGTGATTGTTGTCAACACAGCAACAAAGAAACATCAAATACATGACAGCGTACCACACGCGGTAGTAGCAATATCGCGTCACACGCATGGTTGCATCTATTACACAGACAACAGTGAAGACGCGATAAGCAAACTAATCAGGAAGGCGGCTGATGAGGGTGAGCAAGGTATTAAGGACTACAACCTGAAAATGGCCATCAAACACAGGGACGCGGCAGTCGTGGGTGCTCTCTTGGGCGGGGAGTGTTGCTTGTGATGGAACGAATGCAACATGAGGAAATGTGTGTGCAGAAACATGTAGAAATAGAATATGACCAATTGAATTTTGGACTATTGTACGCTTTATTGGAATCGGCCCATGTGGCAAGGGTTGAGGCGTCATGCACACATAAATGTCCTACAGTCGGTGGCGCTGTGTGTTGGGTTGTTCCGTTCCCAATAAAAAGGTTGACCGAACCAATTGCTGACACACACGTCATAGTCGTGAACGGGTGCCTTCTGCTGGGTCAGGTCGGCTCTCCCATCGTGTTGGTGGGCTGGTTTCATAAAGCCTTTGAAATAGAAATAAATAAATAGTGCCTAATTATTATGTAACCTATACTTTTGCTAATAATTATAGATGTGGTTAATTGTAGTATGTAACTAGGTTCCCTCTTTACTTTATAAATATTGACTAGATGTATTATAATTAAAAAACTGTATGACAAGGGCACGGACCTAGAGTCCGTGGAGAAATAATCTTTAATATTATAAAAAAAAAAAACCAACGATAAGACGCCAAACGGTGAAGGAAAACATCTTGAGGAAACCTGGGCTTATAATTTCTAATTATATGTTTGAAATCGCCAACCCGCATTGAGCAAGCGTGGTGATTAATGCTCATAACCTTCTCCATTTGGGAAGAGGCCATTGGTCAGCAGTAGCCATTTATAGGCTGTTGATGTGATGATGTAAAACCATGTCAATAACAACATAACAGTATTCATAAACTATCAATGGAAAATAACACTCTAAAGTTATTCAACCTATATAACTATTTATGTTACGCGAACACCCATCCACATACATTAATTTAAATAAAACGTATTTAAAATCGTTATTCACAGTTCAACAACTTGTTTCAGCTCTCAGTGATGAAAAGTGTATAGTCAAGTATGTACAGATGTTTAAAAAAATTGTGTCGATAGATCGATAACCTCTATTACGTCACTATTTCGTGTCTTTACGTCAAAGGGGTGTTTTGTAAAATGGTTTGTGTGAAATTACCAAATAAAAGTCAAGGTAACGAGGATTAACGGTAAATATTGATTGTTGGGCAGACGTAAGGGATATAATAATAAATGGGGAGTATTTTGCTATAAAATAATAACATCACGCCTTTTATCCCCGAAGGGGTAGGCAGAGGTGCATATTATACCACTGTACAATGTAACACCCACTTTTTACTATTTATGTTATGAGTCCCATGTATAGGGGGTGAGCCTATTGCCATGTACCGGGTACAATTCCACACTTCGTGCTACTACTGAGAATAATTAAAAAACCCAGTAATACTTTGCCCGACCCGGGAATCGAACCCGAGACCCCTTGCCCGGCAGTCGCACTTACGACCACTCGGCCAACGAGGCAGTCATTTTGCTATAAAATAATAATTGACTTGGATATTGTAACTTTAAATTCAGTTGAATCTTAAAACTATCTACTGACTTCTTTAATAGACATAAAATTATCGTCGCAATGATTAATTTAACACATTTTGTAAATTGCCTCGTTGGTCACGAGGTAGCGGCAAACGCGATTCCCGAATAAGTGTCTCGGGTTCAATCCTGAAAGTTCTAGTAGCAGTAGTAGTTTGTCTTGATTTGCGCCCGGTGCATGGCAAGAGATCATCTTCTATTTTCGGCTTTCGATAACATAACTAAGTACTATGATAACATTGAGAATATACACCCTCTGCGTTGTCAGAGATTTAAAAGCATGACTTAGTCACATAGGCGAGATTTCCTAAATCTGTATCACATACGTACCTATTTCATTGCAACCGTCTAGGCAAACAGAGTACAACAATAGAAGTTAGCTTAAACGATATGTTTATGACAAGTCCAAACACTGCAATACATTGCGTGCGATGTTTATTTCCAAAGACCAATGTTCTCTTTCAACAGTACGTCAATGAAACAAACAATAGCTAGCGACGTCAATGCATACAGTTATACAATATGGATTTATGTTTAAAGCATAAATACATAAAACATCGTCCGATGAATCCGGTTTATTGAATATTTGTGAATAAATAGCTCAAAGGTTCCTTGCTATGGTATATGTTGGGACTGTTTTGTTTCCCAATTTCATAATTTATTTGTTATTGATTTGAATTTCTCAATGTATAGGTTATTGGCCGCTTTACAAATACATTGAACTACTGAGCAAGTAGTAAATGTACTAACCTGAAAATATTAACAATAATAATTTCAAAATTTTGTTTATGGGAAAAGCCGGTAAACCAGCCGACAGATCACCTGATTGTAAGCAGTCGGCGTCGCTCATGGTGTACAAGTGCGTCACCGACCTTTTGGGGGTTTTGGGGATTAGGAGTTTGAGGATTGTTGGTGATTCATGTATTAGAAAGATTGGGAAAGGGAGGGGCGGGGATCATTGGGCCACCAGTAACCTCACTCACAAAACTCACTGAACTCACTAAAACGCAACGCAAGCGTTGCTTCACGTCAGTCTTCTTTGAGGCACTCCGTGGTATTACTCCGGTCGATCCGGCCCGTTCGTGCCGAACTTCATTGTCACATAATAAATTACGGTTTATAATTTTTACTTACCTTTTGGATCGAGGTATCGGAATCAAAAATATGTACCTATCGTCTTTACTTCTAAAAGCACTACACCAGAGATACACAAACAGAATCCATAATTTGTCGTTTCCATCGCCCTAGATTTTCCTAGAAACTTCGCTCATGACGTCAATTTTCGGAAATATACTCGGACTACGTTCATATTATTATATATAATAAATAATAGCTTCAGTTCCGTGTATTGTTCAATAGCTCAATAGAAAAGCTAACAATTCGATGAAAACTCATTAGTTACAAGCTTTAAAGAAAATTTGCTCAAGGACAAAATATAATAAACGTTAAGTAGATATAAAATTAAGGCTATTTGCGAAAGGTTACAATCAGATTAATAAGTTAATCGTTTTAATTATGATTCAATGTTTTTACCTCGAAAAGTTGAAGGTCACACGACGCGCGTTACGTGCTAAATATATTAACAGTGAAATTAAGTAAGTAAAGCTTTTGTGTAGTCGATAAAAACTAAAAAAATAAAATAATTTTTAACTTTGAATTATTATGTGTAAGTTTTAGTCTATTTGTTTGGATTGTAGTTTGTTTCAGAGCCTGAACGTCTTCCTCGTACATTTATCTAAAGTTACTTTAGGTCGACTCAACTTTTCTTCTTTCAATCATTTGTGTTCTTTCGAGTTTTCTCCTATCAGACTTCATTCAATTTTATTACCTTGCACTCACAATTAAATTTTTCTGTTCCTACCCAATGGTTCATTAACCTATGTCAGGTTTTGATTCATTTATTTATCAGTCCTATAGAATGTGTTGAGTTATAGATATGTGTATTTTATAAATTACCTAGTAAAACGAAATTAGATTTTAGGTCGCATTTTTCTATATAATTAACTTATTCACTTGTGTTTACTAAATATGTAATTAAATTTTAAAAAATGTATATCAGATACCTATAAAATACGCATACAAATATTGAACACATAATGTACATTCATTATGATGTGTTGATGCAGTTCTTAACAAGAATTTGTGTAGAATACACACAACAGTGAATCAACATGTTCTCGATGTTGAGCTACGTTACTGGAAATGTATTATTAGGTTAACCAATTTCGAAAATTTCAGTATTTTCAGTAGCAGGCATTAAAGCCTCATGAGAATAACTGTTCTCAGAACTCATGTCTGGCAAAGAGTAGATCATACTGTACTGTATCTAGTACATGCATTTATGTGCTTCGTAGAATAAAAAAGTTAGCTTGTGTTCATTACCTACATTGTTACAACTGCAACATTGCACAATGACTTTATCTATCCTCAACATTTTAGTGGTATACTCGGTTTTGTTTTTATCAGCAGAACAATGCATTATCAGTTCTACAGAATTCTCGAAAAAACTTGTAGATGGATCTTTGTTCCATTTCTGTAATGGACAGCTGTTTATCTAGGCGTCAGTGTGTCGCTATTGTCCGTATTGACAGGGAGATACGTGGGCGCACTGTTCGGTTCACTGTCCACTTATCCAGCGCTACATTCTGTAAAGCTTCCGTTTCGAAGCGAGTACACCCGTGGCCTCACATCCGCATTGATTACGTGTGACTCAGATAAAAAAACAACTTTAAACATTGTTATTGTTTTTAAACGATAAAAGCGAATTTTAACCAAATTCACATTCACATTCTTATTCTGGTTGTAATTTCAGTAATTCTGAGATTTTTTGCTTAGTAGGTTGCCTAAGTTCTGCTAATACTATTATGCCAGAATGATCGTATGTACCCAGCAGTAAAAAATACATAATTATAATAAAAACTTTATTAAATTAATAAAAATTTCACAATGTAACAATATTAGTTCTTAATGTTAATTGTCGAAAAATATTTTTCCTTATAATCAAATCTCAATAGAGTTATAAAGCAACTTAGATAAAATTGTAAATCAAGAGATATCGTATTTCTATTATACGGATAGAAAGACGAATCAGAAACATTTCATGTAAATAAATTAATAAAAATAGCTTGCATTAAAATAGAATAAAGCTTTCGTCATCATGAAAAGATCAATGCGACTTAATTGTTAATCGTTACGAAAATATTGTAAATTATTAATAAGTAGGATCAACACTACAGCTAAAATAGGCGCCATACTCCTTGGTTTGACTTGGTTTACTTGACGCCAATATCACGTGACGTAACGACAGTAGCTGTACGGGTCACTGCAGTGGTCTCATTAGCAGTTCTGGCTGCAGTTCCCACCTTCCTAATAGTAGTTGTGGTCGTCGTCTTAGAAATACCACCATTGGCAAGTTTCTGGACATCGGTGTTTGAACGTACTTCTTCAGTAGCTGCCTGTTTCTTCTCGTGCGCAGTAGCATTCCTCACGTTCTTTTCAATATTTTGTTCGTAACCATCCCTCCTAATCACTTCGTTACTCCTCTCCTCGGAGCACCTGGCACCTCTTTCTCCTTGTTCAGCTGTTCTAATAACTCCGTTCTCAACTGGAATGACGTCACTGTTCTGGTAGTTCTCGTAAAATCCATTGCCGTCGGTCTTTTCAATCGTGTAGGAACCGCGACGGACGGGTTTCTCAGGAATCCATACAATTTCCTGAGTAAGAGTTTCTTGATGCTGAACAGGTTCGGGGGAAACTGTTGTACTTCTTATCTCACTGTCGTGTCTTACTTGCGTCACATGAGCACGCGAGTCATAGATTTGATTGGTCTCATTGATATCAACAACGTTTTCGTGATCAACTCTCCTGTTGTTCTCAATTTGGTTGGGGACCTGTTTTGTCACGGTCCTCTGAACTTGTGTGACTTTAGTAGTATTGTTGGACGGCGTGGTTCTCTCAGTAGGACGAGGTTCTAAAGGTCTCAGTTGTCCTAACAAAGGCGAGTGTTTGATGCCGAAGGTTATTTGTGGCGTCTTGTTGATCTGCACCTGTAATCACAAAGTATAAAATTGAAGTCAATACGTACGTAGATTGGCTTTGACGCCAGAATTCTATTAAACATGTGGGTTAAAATCATTTTAATTGACGGTTAAATGACACAATTTATGACACATATTATATTATAGGCTAGAAAGTTGTCAGGATATAAATAACTATTTATAGCAATGGAATTTACCTTTTCGGGGGAGTAGGTGCCAGGCGCGGGAACTCGCGTGCGGTCGTCCACAGGCACCTTATGACGTCCCGATATCGTGTACACCGGAGTGTCCAACACAGACGGGATGCGGTATGAATTCGGAGCTGAAAAAAGGTTTACGTAAAATATTAAAATATTGCCATTTACAATATGTGTCCAACCAGTATTATCCGCGTTTAAACCAAATCATATTGTTATGAGTAATATTATTAATCTAGTCTCCTGGTCGTACAGTTAAATGTTAAGCCCCAATAAATGTTGTTAATTTTGATAATTACCCATTTATTATTAGTTTCATATTTCGACATGCTTTGTTACTGTGATTAGTAACACCACTATATCCGCGTAACTAACTCACCAGGGGTATCAGCGAATTTATTTGTTTGTATTTTAATACCAAAAGTGTGCTGTGGAGAATAAGTCAAAACGAACTTGTAACCCTTTTCTGGGTTGTAAGTTCCCGGAGCTGGAACCTTCAGCCGCTCATCTGTTGGTTCCTTATGTCTACCCGAAATCGTATACAACGGGGTTTCGACAGGCGTTGGAATATTGTAGGAATTCGGAGCTAAAATATGTATAGGAAGAAATATAGTAGAAGTGTACAGAGGTATAGAAAATAATAAATTTTCTAAATAAATAAATGTCAATTACCTGGAGTATCAACTGGTTTTACGGTGTCAGTCTTTACTCTGAACGTGTATTGCGGAGCAGAATGCAGTAACACTTTGTCTGCTTTATCGGGATTGTAACTGTTTGGTGCAGGAACAACATCAGGCTTATGAGGGTTGGTCTTTATTCTGAACGAGTATCGTGGTGCACTGTCCAACAAAATCCTATCAGCTTTTTCAGGACTGTATACGTTGGGTGCGGGAGTGTCGTTGATTTTTGCATCCTTTCCTCTAGGGGCCAATGAGTACGCTGGAGAGTGACCATGTGTAACAACATCAGCTTTTTCTGGATTGTAAGCATTCGGGCCAGGTGTATTAGGTATTTTATCATTAGCAATCTTTGGCCGGAATGTATAACACGGAGCATGTTCATGTGTTACCCCGTCAGCTTTATCTGGGCTGTAAGCGTTAGGAGCTGGATTGTTCGATGGTTTGTCGGCTGGACCCTTAGAGCCAAAAGTGTATTTAGGAGCGCCATCTAGCATGTAGTCATACTTACTGGGATCGTATGCATTAGGACCAGGTGTATCTTCTGGTTTATGTAATGGGTGTTTTGTTCTAAATGAATATGCAGGAGAACTCTCCAATAATAATTTGTCACCTTTATCTGGATTATACGCATTTGGAGCTGGATAATTTTCAATTTTGCCTGGTTGCCCCTTGCCAGCTATGGTGAATTTTGGAGTGTTACTCAAAATATGAGGATCGTACTTGTTAGGTGCAGGATTGTCAGAAACTTTAGAATCTGGTCCTTTCCCAGATATGGTATATTTAGGTGTATTGGAAGGCAGATGTGGATCGTAAACATTAGGACCTGGAGTGTCAGAAGGTTTTCCGTCAGGTCCTTTACCAGAAATTGTGTATTTTGGGGAATTAGTAGGTAAATGGGGATCATAGTAATTCGGCCCTGGTGTATCAGAGGGCTTTCCATCGTGACCTTTGCCAGCCAATGAGAATTTGGGGGTACCATCGAGTAAATGAGGATCATAAGCATTGGGTGCCGGTACATCTGATGGCTTACCCGTGTGAGGCCTTCCTGAAATAGTAAATTTAGGTGTCCCATCTAATAGGTGAGGATCATAGGCGTTTGGCCCCGGTGTATTAGAAATTTTAGGATCGTGGCCTTTTCCATATAAACTAAATTTAGGTGTTCCATCCAACAAATGTGGATCATAATTGTTTGGCGCTGGTGTGTCACTGGGCTTATCCAAAGCAACCTTTGGTCTGAAAGTATATGCAGGTGATGATTCGTGGAGAAGTTTATCAGATTTATCAGGGTTGTAAGCATTTGGGGCTGGGACGTAGTCGGTTTTTGGAGTATGACCCTTTCCAGCTATACTAAATTTAGGTGCACTGTGAAGCATTTTTACGGAATTCTCTGGGGCATAGACATTCGGTGCTGGTGTGTTATCAGATTTGTGTATTTGATCTTTTACTCTAAACGTGTACGCCGGCGACGACTCGTGTAATATTTTATCTGCTTTATCAGGACAATAAGCATTAGGAGCTGGAGTATTCTCAATTTTTTCATTGTGACCTTTGCCACTCATAGTGAATTTAGGAGTACCGTCCAACATATGAATAGACTTTTCTGGTGCGTAAACATTAGGGGCTGGAGAATCGCTCCTTACAACAGTTTGATCTTTAATTCTGAATGAATAAGCTGGTGAACTTTCGTGTAGAACTTTGTCAGCTTTCTCGGGGCAATAGCTATTAGGTGCTGGAGTTTGTTCTAATTTCGAACATACTCCTTTGCCCGAAATAGTGTATTTAGGGCCACCATTAAGCATATGTATAGATTTTTCTGGTGCGTAAACGTTCGGTGCTGGTGTTTGTTCAAACTTTTCAACTACTTCCTTTGAGCGCATTGTGTATGCTGGAGAACTTCCATGTAGTATTTTATCAGCTTTCTGAGGAGTGTAGTAATTAGGACCTGGCGTCACTTCATGCTTTTCAGCTATACCTTTACCAGCTAAGGTATATTTAGGTCCGTTCTTCAATGAATGGAGAGATTTTTCCGGTGAATAAACGTTAGGGGCAGGTGCATTTTGAATTTTAATAATGTCTGTTTTAGTTCCAAATGAGAATGCTGGTGATTTTTCTCTTAATACTCTATCAGCCTTTTCAGGGCAATAAGCGTTAGGTGCAGGAACTTGTTCTGTCCTTTCGAACTTCATTTTTCTTGAAATGGTGTTTCTTGTGATTTTGTCGCGCACAGTCTTGTGACCCTGGAATTATAACGTCAATTTAATTAGACATTTCAAAATATTATGAATATGATATTTAAAACACGTATTACTCATATAATGAATAGGTACCTGGTTAGTAGATGATCAGTAGAAGTAGTGTGAACATGCAGTTATATAATAACCTGTATGGTTTAAATACATTCCATGGGATGATCATTAGATATACAAAAATATTAAATATGGGTAACGTTAAAGTTTTTCTTTCTGATAATATATAATTTTATTGTTAAACTGATTATTTAGAAGAATATTTTAATAATCAATTTTATATACATCACAAAATAAAAAATACACTAGAACGATGACAGTTCTTAGCTCTGATAAAGCATGGCGATGAATGGTGAAGTGGATGAGTATATCTTGTTAATGTTCGGTTAGATGGCGGCGATTCCTTCTGGCGCAGGACTGAAGACGGCTTGTCCCGCGTACTGCGAGTGCCGGATGCCGAACGTATGCGCAGGCGCCCACGGCAGGTTCACGCACACCTGCCACCCATCCCCATGTTAGTACATGATGATAATGTATAAGTATAAATCCCTCTAAAGCATTTGAGAAATGATAAGTCATTACAATACATATTATTCATAACAGTACTCCACCAATTAAGTACTTCAGATGAGCTAACAATGACATAACACTTTGATAAATTGCCAAAATCAACATTAGTAGGCGCAAGGTTGATATTGTTAAATTGTTAGTTGCAATTTCGCGCCCACCAGCCATTCAACCCTTCAGTGCGGGCGTAACCGGCACTGAAGTTAGTTCCGCGTGGAGTGAGTTTAGGAAGCATTCATGTCTGACATTAATTTATGCATAACATTCACGAGCGCGCTGACATCACTCGACGAGCCTCGACTCGGACTATTTCACACAAGTTTACGGACAATGATTAATGCAAGCAATAAAATAAGACAGGACAACACCTACAGTGTGGCCACAGTTGTTTTTCATCATGTAAGTGCCATTCTTTGTTACAGTTTTATTACTATTAAATATACAAGGACGAATTGACATCATCGTTAATGCTATTTTCTAAGAATTACCTTTTCAGGGCAATAGACATCGGGTCCGGGTACAATGGCCGTGGGTGGCTTGGACTCCCGTCTTGGTGCAATAGTATAAGCAGGGGGGCGCTTTGTGAGCACTGCAGATGCTTTGTCCGTGGTATAGGTGCCAGGTCCCGGCAACGGGATCTTCGACTCCAAGGTTTTACCACGGCCTGTGATGCTGAAAGCTGGTGCTGCGCGTTTACCACCCTCCTTTGCTTCACCAAGCACAGGGGGCATAGAATACGTGTTCGGCGCTGAAAATAATACGATTCAATGTTAAAATAAGGCCAAGGATTTCTAACCGCAAACTATAGATGCAATTTAATTTTATAGTAAAATGTTTACTAAATAAGATTTATACCACAAATATGAATAATGCTACAGTACAAAGCAGATAATTAAATCATAGTATAACAAAAGTATGTGTCACAAAAACAATGATCGCACAAAAAATATAAATGACATCAGGCATCAAACATAAATCGACACGACTCAGCTTTGCGAACAGATTTATACAGAAAAGCTAGACAAATGTTTGTGAACAAGCTGCAGCCTCTAATCAGCATAATGACGTAATAAAAACAAACGACCAAATGAATCAAAATAAACGACGATCTATAAAATGAACTGTTTAGTGCACTTGACATGAGATGCTCTTTAACTGGCTATACGTTTTAAATAGCTGTATATTAACAGTGTATTGTTTCAATGAAATAAAAACAAGTTGAAAATGAAACAGTGATAATGATAGTACTTAATCTTAATTATGTTTACAATATTTACTTGTATGTGACTCTGACAACAGCTATCATTACAGTAAGATTAAAGCTATAATTGCATCAACATGTATTTTAGGTACAGACGAGAGCAACCCACCCAACTTACCAATATATCTTTAATAGAGTTACTACTTTTTTCTTTGCAAATTAAGTTGAAATTTTATTCAACAAATCGGAGTAATTTGATTTGCTGTCGTCTTTACTTTCAAGTCTTACTACATGGCCAAAGGCAAGGTAACGTGCTGCGAGAAGATGAGGAGACCTGGCGGCTTCCAATAGCTACCGATACAGCGCGATAAAGGCTAATGTTGCATTAACATGATTTTAGGTACAGGCAACAACAGATCTACTCAAAACGAGTCAAACATTTGATAGATTTTCAACTCATACATTATGTAATAGAATTTAAAATCTTAGAGCTGATTACAGTGCTTAGAATCTGTACTTTCAAGTTCAACTACATGACCAAAGGTTAACATGCTACATAATTGTCTAAACACCTGGCGTTTTGCCGCCGGGCTGAGGGGGATTCACTCGTTGGCCAATGGAGAAAGCCGGAGCGTGGTCGTAGACGGCCCGGACGGCTTTGATCGGCTCGTAGTCGCACGGTGCAGGAGTCGGTGCGACGCGAGGCGGCGGCCAGCGACCGTGCAGGGACGCCGCCGGCGCACCGGACCGCCCTGCTTGTTCCGTCAACCGCGACATTGTATATAACTATTGCTATAACCTACCTATATTTATGATTATAATTGCCTCATAGAGTTAAAGGTATGTCTCGGTGTCTTCGAGATAAATATTACATAACATCATGACTACACACACACACACCTATGACACCAATCTCTGGACAATTATGTTCGAAGCTACCTGGTTAAAATCATCACAATACTTCCATTAACTTAAATAATTAATATTTTATATAAATTTCACAAAACAAATACTGAAAATTTTTGTAATTCAATTTCAAAGGAAAAAAAATCTACTTCAACTATATTTTGGCAAAATCTTCATTTGAAATGACAAGAAACCAAAAATGAGTTTTTTAATTGACTTGCATGTAGTCAGAATACTAATAAAAGTTGGTCATTGTTATACTATATCTATTCAAAACACATAGCTTGATAAGTATTTGTTATGAATAAGTAGCATAATTGAAACGTGATATCAAAAAATTTCTAAAATAAATTTTAATTATAAATCAATTCTTAAACTGAAATTATAATTAACTAAAATCTGCAAAATTATCACAGGACATCCGAATTTTAATTACTTCCCTAAACCAAGGATCGATATGTAAAATAATCATATAAACTCCCAACCAAATCAACGAAACATTCATCCCAGTCATGATCGGGAATTTACTTAATATTTGTCATTTAATGCACTATCCGTAACAAAATAAACTTATTACTACCAATTACAACACCATAAATCACACAATTATACTTAATTGTATTAATAATTTACCAGACAAATCCGGTCGTCCAAATTGCAACTGAAACACTGCACTCAAGATCCCTCTAGCACTGTTAGCCTAAACACAACTTGTTGGAACAAGCCCTAGGTACGGTGTAGTGGTGAGCGAGTTGGATGCGCGACTGAGCCAGTATGGGACAAACGCAGGGTCCAAACGGGGCACCTACACGACGAGTGACTCAGACTCACCGTCGATCACCTTCGCACATACGGACTTATTTGGAGACATCGTCCAAATGCAGCCGCTCTCCAAGAACCAGCAACTGTTCGAACATCCAATGCCAAAGTAATCGACCAATTAAGATAAACAACTTACATGTATATATCTACCTCTACATATGGAGCATTCATTTTATAAAATGCTGTATTTATTTTTAATTATGACCACATTTATGGGTAATTTTTCTAACTATTAGTTGTGACATACGAAAATTAATAAATGATTAATCATACAATCGCCTGATGTTTTCATATTTTATTTGAAGGCTAATGTTTATGCGTAATTCATATAATATGTATAGGAAGATAAATACAATTTATTTCCCTCCTACGTAATAGAGGTTTTCAATCAATGACACAGCTAGTTAGCGGGTTGAATTAATTGAGAATGATTGTGTCGATTTGTCAATGATTGAAAAATCTGCGCATAATTTTCATTAGGCAAAAAGCACAACATCATGTCTATTACTTAAATTCTTTTGCAATGAAAAATATTAGAAACAGTAGGCAAGTATCTGTTTAAACAATAAGGAAAATGGAAACAGTCACGTAAGTTCTTTAAATGTTAAGTGCCTAAGTAAACAGGTATAAAGTAATACTGCAGACGACATCGTTTATGTAAATTAGACTGCAGTCATGACCCACTTACAGATTATTTGTCGCAGCATGAATCACGCCATAAAAGTAGTGATGATTCCCTGACTCTGGCTCATGCGTTTGACCGGTCAAATCCGGAAGATTCAGTCGCACCAAACCT